AGAGAAGGATGCTTAGTGGTGAGAGGTTATTGGGAGGAGTAAAAGAGAGGTGTTTGGATTATAAACCTACTGCTCTTATTTTACAAGAAACCAAACTTCCAAGCCCTACTCTTTTTGGGGTTAGGGAAGTCTGAGGATATGGAGCAGTAGATTTTGTGGGCATTGATTTAGTGGGTCAGTCTGGTGGTATTTTATTGATTTGGGACCATACGGTTTTGCTTTCTTTTTGTATTGTAAAGAAAGATTTTTTATTGCTTGTTGGCTTTGTGGGTCCGGAAGCTGAGCTTCAATGAGGTATGATGAATGTCTATGGTCCACATAGTTCTGCTTAGAAATTTTGTTTTATAGAAGAAATGACTAAAGTCATTTCTCATTTTCTTTATCCTATTTGTATTGGGGGATTTTAATTTTACCCTTTTGTTAGATGAATGCTTTGCTGGGGGAGTGATTACTACATCAATACGTCTATTTAATAGATTCATTGAGTCGCATGCCTTCATTGACCTTTGAATTGCAGGGGCGAAATTCACTTGGTCTAATGGGAGTGCGACTTCCCTCTCCATGTCTAAACTTGATAGGTTCCTAGTTTCCCCTGAATGGTCTGAATTTTTCTCTATAGCCTCTGTTAAAGCAGTCCCCAAGCTCTCTTCGGACCATACTCCGATTCTTTTAACCTCTAAGGTTTTTTTGGGAAGTACTAGACCTTTTCGCTTTGAAATTGGATGGTTAAAGGAAAATGATGTTCTAGACCTTATTAAAAGCACGTGGGAGAATACGATTGTCAGTGGGTCTCTTGATTTTCAACTCCATAAGAAATTGCTCGAAATTAAGCATAAGTTTATGGATTGGAAAAAAGAGAAATGCTATTCAATAAAAAGGAATGTTGATGAAGTGTTACTTTCTATTGAGATCACAGATCAAGTAATGCAACAAATAGGATCTTGGACTACAGAGATGGATGGGGAGAGAAGTGCCATTGAATAAGTTACAAGAGCTTAGGAGGGTGGAAGAGGTGTATTGGAAACAGAGGTCCAGGGTCAAATAGCTGAAAGAGGGGAATATGAATACAAAACTCTTCCATGTTATTGCAAATGCCAGGAGGCGCCAAAATGATATTTCTGGTCTGGCGGTTGATGGTGTTGACGCGGATGATGGTGAGGGTATGAGTCGTGCTATTATGAAGCACTTTCACCATGCTTTTCCGTTGGAAGTGAGTTGTACCCCTAGACTAAGCCAGGTAGGCTTCAAAGTTTTACTGCCTCACCTAAGTTCTATCCTAGATAGAAATGTTTCTTTGGAAGAGTTAAAAAAGACAGTTTTCGCTTTACCTGGAGACAAGGCACCTGGTCCTGATGACTTCTCTCTAATCTTTTTTCACCAATTTTGGAGTTTGATTAGTTCTGAGCTATTGCAAATGATCATGAGATTCTTCCCGGGTGTAAATTGCCCTAATGCGGAGGTTTCCTCTTTTGCGCAGGAGTTTGGTTGTAAGATTGAATTTTTCCCTATTACGTACTTCGGTATACTAATTTCAGATGGTCGTCTCCCTATTGCAGTTTGGGATAAAATTTTACAGCGTATCCAAGTTAAGCTAGATTTATGGAAATTTAAGTATTTATCTTTTGGAGGGAGGATTACACTCATTAAAGCATGTCTGTCAAACTTGCCTATTTATCAGATGTCTATTATACAAATCCATGCTTCAATAGCAAAGAAAATATAGACTATGATGAGGAACTTTTTGTGGGGGTCATCTGTGGAGAAGAAGAAGTTCCATCTCCTTCGCCGGGATAGAGTGTATACGCCTAAAAAGGAAGGTGGGCTTGAGATTAGGAAAATCAAATTGGTTAATCAAGCTCTGCTCTGTAAATAGTGGTGAAGATGTCTTACTCTTAAAAACCATCTTTGGTACGAAGTGATTGCTTTAAAGTATGGAATGGATAGTATGTGGGTGGGGAATAGGAATAGAGTAAGGGGCATGTCAGCCAGCTGGAGGGCCTTCCATTCGTGTAAAGGCATTATACATCGTGATATTCAGTGGTGTGTGGGTAATGGCTGCAATATCTCCTTTTGGCATCATAAATGGTTGGGGGACTGCCCATTGAAATTAAGTTTTCATTTGATTTATCATTTGATGACTAATCAAGAAACCACTATTGCTGAGCTTTTTGTTCGTAGGGGTAGTAATGTTGAGTGGAATATTACTCTACGTTATAACAGGGTTTCTGTTTTGATTTTCTCTCAGTTTGCTGATCTTCATAGACTATTGAAAGATGTTTATATCTCGCATAATGCTTCTGATGAGGTAGGTTGGGAAATTGACAAAAATGGGATTTATTCAGTTAAATCTATGTATCATTTACTCTACCATGAGAGGGTGTGATGGTCTATGCCTGAAATAGCTATCTTGTGGAAATGGCCCCTACCTCTCAAAGTGCTAGGTTTTTTTTGATTGGCAATTCAAAACTGAGTTCTCGCGGTTGATAATCTGACTAAGAGAGGGAAATTTTATTGAATATATGTCTCATGTGCAAGGAAGAAGGAGAGACTAGTGATAATCTCTTTCTCCATGGTCCGTTTTCCAGTGGCATTTGGAGGTGGTTTTTTGACAAGCTTGGGGCTGCATTGGTAATGCCACTGTCGCTGATTGGGGTTTTTCATAATCATTCAATTACATTACCAATGACTGGGAGTGTTGTATGGCAAATCTCCATTCTGTGGGAGATCTGGAGAGAGAGAAATAGAAGAATGTTTGAAGGTACCTCTTTGCCAGTTGGAAAAGTTTTAGAGAAAATCTTGCATTCCATCTGGTTGTACCTCTCTGCTACGAGTTGTTAACAGAATTTTTCTGAAGTAGATGTGAGATGTAACCTTTTTAACCTCTTTCATTGGGGTTTCCAAAAGTATAGGCGCAAAGGCAGATGGATGGTCCCACCTTTGGGGGTTTATAAGTTCAACTTTGATGGTAGCTCATTAGGTAACCGGGCCTTCCTGGTTTTGGAGGGGTTCTTCGGGATTGAATGGGTAATGTGATTTTCTCTTAAGTAGGGCCACTTGGGGTGCGGACTGCGAATTATGCAGAGATCTTTGCCCTTCTCTTTGGCCTTCATTCCCTTGTGGAGAGGAATTTGGGGATTTTTTACATTATTGAAGGGGATTTCCTCAATGTTGTGAAATGGTGCATAGGGGATTAGAAAGTTCCTTGGGAGTTGAAATCTTTGTTATTTTCAGATTTTGGATCTCGTCTCCTCCTTTTCTGTCTCTTTTGTTCATGTGGATAGGGAGGCTAATGTGCTAGTTGATTCCCTAGCCAAAGGAAGTTTGACTCTCTCCGAAGCTGTTATTTTGGATTCTGTAATCTCGTTCTAGATTAATAATATCCTCTCAAAAAAAAAAAAAAGAGGTGTTTGGATAAACACATAAAGAGAGAGGGAGGCGTTTGGATAAACACGAGAGGAGCTATACTTGGTGGTGAGAAGTTACAGGGAGGAGAGAGAAGTGTTTTGATAAAGACAGGAGGAGAGAGGGAGTGAAACAGGCGGCAAGAGAGAGAAAGAGAAAAGTTTAGGGTATATAAATGAAGAGAAAATGGATTGGGTTCAAAATCAGCATATCTTTTTCATATTTGTTTAGGTTAAAAAGTATGTTAAATTGGCCAGAGTTGGAAGATATTTTTTGAGGCATCGGGTTTATTAAAAAATAAAATCTAAAAATGTGGGATATTGAGATATTGTTCCTAAAACAAATTGTAATTAACTGTTCAAATTTTTTTTAATATAATTATTATTTCTAATTTTTAAAATTTATTTATTTTCATATTTATGTCAAAGATTATATATTAAAGCCAATGGTTTAAAAAACGGATCGGTGCCCCCGATCAGACACTCCAAAAACCCATCTGGATCGGGAATCATATGACTCGGTTGGATTAAGCTTTAAAAAAATCCCAAAAAATAATTAAAATTCATTATAAATGTTGTCTTTTAGGAATCCAATAAGAAACAAGAGTACTGCATTGTTAATTTTAATTTTTTTCATCAATTTGTGAATATTGAGACGTTCTTTCCTTGTATAAACTTATGTTAACCATTAAATTTATATCACACAAAAGAAAAATCATAAAATTATCATTGATAAAGTATATCAATCATACATAGACTACAATACAGAGTAGACTAAATCGATGAAAAAATGGCCACTAAAATCTCGAATTGACGGAAAACCCTAATTCGCTAAACAAACCCAAATTATTACAACCTAATTATAATCCAAAATTATTACAACCTAACTAACTATAATATTATATACTGAAATTAAAGTTATTGGTTAATATTTTATAATTATTTTATTATACAAACAATAACAAATCCAAAGTATTTTATAATATCATCTAATTTAAAATGTATTATTGATAACTGTAAGAAAAATAGTACATTACATGATTTATAGTACAAAAGTTAATAAATAAAATAAAAATTTGGTTACCAATATAGAAAATATTTGATTGCGTATCAATTTTCGAAATAACACTTCAATTTTTCAAAATTTTAATTTTTTAGATTCTAGAATAAATTTAGTAAAAAAAGATTGTTAATAGAAAAATATAATTTCAAATGGAGTTTTTTTTTTTTTAATAACATTATTTTCGAAATAACACTTCAATTTTTCAAAATTTTAATTTTCTAGAATAAATTTAGTAAAAAAAAATTGATAATAGAAAGATAGAATTTCAAATGAAATAATTATTTTTTTTAACAACATTATTTTCTACTTACTTTTTATTTTTTCTATAACAAAAATAAAATAATGTAGCACGCCCAACCTACGGGCTATTTCAACCTAGAAGAAACAATAACCATAAAGCCACACTGTGGCAAGTATAATAGTTTTACATATTAATAATAGTTATTCAATATCTATTTTAATTTAATGCACTTTGTGGGAATTATCCCACATCCTAACATAAGTATAAAGTGGTGATATAAATAGTTCTGTTGTGCTTTATTACATGTACGCGTGAAAATGCGGGGCTGCGATGCTGTGGGGTTGAAGGCTTGCTACGTGTAACTAAGTTTTTTGAGGAAGTTTTGAGGGGCCAGAGAACCTGGACCGCATTTTTACAATATGCGTCCTAATCAGAAACAAGTTGTGAGGATATATTGCCACCGACATGCGTGTGTGCGATGGCAGCAGCCAGGAGGTCTCATTCATTGATCCGCCAACGCTATGGACCAAGGTGGAAGGCTGAGATCATGGTGCGGGCTGGGCTGGAGCGAGATCTTAATTGCCCTCCTCTGCTTCCTCTTCCTCCACTACATGAGGCAGCGCCATAGGCCCTTCATCAGCTGGCCCCTCCTCCGCGACCTCCCAGCCGTACTCATCAACCTCCCCCACATCCACAACTGGAGTGCTGATGTTCTCAGAGCGCTCGGCGGCACCTTCACCGTCCGTGGTCCGATCCTCACCGGCATGCGCATCGTTGCCACCTGTGACCCCTCCAACATGGAGTACGTCCTCAAGACTCGCTTCTCCAACTTCCCCAAAGGCCCGGACTTCCACGACATTTTCCGGGAGCTCATGGGCGCCGGCATCTTCAACACCGACGGCGTCGACTGGCAGGGCCAACGACGGATGGCAAATACGCATGTACATTCGAAAGCCTTTCGAATATTTGTTGAGAAGAAGAGTCGTGAGCTCACCTTCAACAACTTGGTGCCTATACTCCGCCAAGCGGCTGAAGAGGGGGCGGTGGTCGACTTTCAGGACCTCATGATGAGATACACGATGGACACGACCTGCGCTGTCCTGTTTGGCGAGGCTATCGGTTGCCTTGCGCCGGAGCTCCCGCTCGTGCCCTTTGCGCAGGCTATGGATGAGGCCATGCAGGCGGTCATGGTGAGGCACATCCTGCCGTGGTGGAAGCTGATGCGCTGGCTGGGCCTCGGCAAGGAGGCCCGACTAGCCCAGGGCGTGCGCACCATGGATGAGTTTGTGGCGCGTCAGGTGGTGCGTACACGAGGCAGAGGCAGCGGTGGTGGCGGAGACCTGCTTTCGATCTTCGCTATGGATGGTGCCATCGGGACTGATAACAGATATCTGAGAGACGTCGCGGTGAACTTCTTGATAGCAGGGCGGGACACAACGGGGGCGGCCCTGGCATGGTTCTTCTGGCTCGTGAGCACGCACCCTGAGGTCGAGGCCAAGATCTTAACCGAGATCAAGGAGAAGGGCACCAATGACCTGAGCGAGCTCCACTACCTCCACGCCGCCTTATCCGAGACTCTACGTCTCTACCCCTCGGTGCCATTAGACCACAAGGGAGTTCGAGAAAAGGATGTTTTACCGGATGGCACCACAGTGGAACCAGGGACGATGCTCGTGTACAGTATCTACGCCACGGGGAGGATGGAGTGGATATGGGGAGAAGACTGCCTCAGGTTTAAGCCGGAGAGGTGGCTCGGAGAAGACGGAAAGCTCAGAGCAGAGAGCGGTTTCAGATTTCTGGCCTTCAATGGAGGGCCGAGGACCTGCCTTGGCAAGGAGGTGGCCTTTGTGCAGATGAAATGCGCCGCTGCCGCGGCACTAAGCTCGTTCCGACTGGAGGTGGTGGCAGGGCACAGGGTTTCGACGAAGCCATCAGTGATATTGGTCATGAAGGATGGCCTCAAAATGAGAGTCACGGAAAGGCTGCCGGGAGTTGCAGGAAAACTGGTTTTTCCGGCGGGTTGAGGCTGATTCCGGCGGTAAATGTAGGGACAAATAATTTTCTACTCTCCATGTGATATGTGTCCAAGGGAATGTGGTTTTGCGGATTGGTATTCAGCCGTGTGCCTTTGTTTTTAGTGTTCTTCAAAACGTAAGTGCAGAAAGCGATGCATGTTTGTTTTTAGTGTTCTTCAAAAAGCAAGTGCAGAAAGCGATGTGGTGACTTATTTGAGGCACTAATTCAATTATAGAACAAGGTCAGTCCACTTAATTTTTTTTATTTTGTTTTTCAAAATTATCATTTAATAAATTTTGATTTATTTTATATTTTTAGTTAGTAGGGTAATGTCTTAAAGCTTAGGGTATTATTTATTAACTAAAAAACAAAAATAAAATTAAAATAATAAAATTCGGATTGACTAAAAAGTAATTTTGAAAATTAAAAATAAGGTGGGTAGACTGATTTTTTTTTTTTTTAATTTTTACATAGAAAC